AATTTCAGGGTTCGCTTTTGTGCTGCACTTGGCTAGCAGATCTTTCCTGTTTCTGAATTGACTACAGTTTTCCTCTAACCATAACATTAATTTGGCCACTGCACACGCTGAAATACATTTAACATTTTCCAGGACAACATAGATTACTTCCAGGATATTTGGTCATTTTAATCAATTTACAGGTGTTTCACTGACTGGAAAACCAGTCTCTAAATTTCCAGGTTTCCCAGGACATGAGGTAACCCTGAATTTAAAGTTAAAGTTGTAAAGTGTTCATGTCTACCATTTACTGTGTGTCATGGAGGCATGCTTAATATTCATCCCTGTACACATGGGTGGAAGTAATACATGTACTCTTCTTACTGTAACAAAGTTTTACTTTTAGTACAATCGGGAAATTTGTTTCATTACAGTTGCTCAAGGTGCTCACAAGAGTTTTATGAAATAGAAATAATAATAATAAGAATGTTACAAATATGCATTATATTACAATATCTAACAATATATATAGAAAAAATAGAAACATATAGTGGAGTCTGAAGTATGTAAATTATTACCATATATATCAATATATAAAAGATAGAAATAAGACATGGAAATAGGTATACTACAGTATATGACAGAAGTGTAGTGAATAAATAGTAATAATAAAAAAAGTCATTTCACTTAAGTGTTTTGTAGCTCCAGATGCTGTGCATCGGTGTCTGAATGTGTTTGAATGAGTTTCTGCTTGTGATCGCACACATGGTGTGAACGGGTGAATGTGGTATGTAGTGTAAGCACTTTGAGTGGCTGGAAGACTAGAAAGGAACAGTCCATTTACCTTTTATGTGTTCTTTGTTATGACAGGGATTGTACTTTGCTATATTTCAAGTCACAGAAGAAGAAGAAAGAAGAAAGATCATAGGAAAAACTGTAATAAACTGTGTGAGAGGCCTGCATTTACAGTTCATGAACAGTGCGGCAACAGACAAACCGAACACTGGCTCTAGATAAGGCCTTTTTTGATAACATTTATCCTAAATCTTGTGGCCACTGTAGTTTCTCCTATACACAGCCAGTTCTCATTCACAGCCGTGTACAGTTGGCTGCAATCTGCAACTTCAAATCCTGGTCTTTAAAATGATTTACTGGAATAATACATGTCAGTATAAGTATTTAAAGTAACTTGAACGAAAAAAAAAGCTGTTTTACTTTTTTCAGTAAAAGCCCTTTTACTTAAGTTATATTCTAGTAGTCTTTCCATCTTCACATGTACATCTCTGCACCCACACATCCTGCTGGTACATTAACTAAATTAATGATTTGTCATCTGTCATATGACACATTTTTATCAGTAAAATGGGGCTGTGTGTGAGCAAGTCATAGAAAAAAACATATTGGCCTCCCTTTGCCCCTCTATTCTTTTCTTTGGAAAATGTTAACTTGGCACATTTGTAAAAGAGGGCTTGTCATTGTATTCTTTCTGAGTGTAAAATAATGTGAATATAGCAAGTGACAGTATAATCAATTAATTCAGTCGATCTAGCCTTGACAGGCATAGTCATTTGGATCAGTCCACAATGAAAATTCAATACATCACTGTTTTCCCACAGTAATCACTGTAGGACAAGAGTTCTAAATGATGTTCAAACTGAAACTGCAACTGTAGTAACAAAAGCAAAAGAACATGGATATACTGTATGCTAATTAGTCATTAGTTGGGGGAAATTCCACTTCAGTTCACAAAGAGCATGTTCTTTTTCATCATACAGCTCAGCTTAACTTAATTTGAACCGGTCTGAATGGCAGAGACACAGATTGTGAGGATGATGTCATCAAGAGACAAATCCTGGACATACTTGACGGTGAATAATGGGCCAACTGCCGGGACATGCTCATGGCTTTACATGGAGATATGACTGTATTCATGTTCAAATATAACTGATTTGGATGGAGTCAAACAAAAGCTAAATGAGCACACAGAAGCACTCACCAACTCAACATAAATGCATCAACTTTTTACTTTTGTTACTACAGTTGCATTTACTCTTCAACTCCTCCCTCAGAGTGTCAGACTGAGTCATTACCATTAAACTGGCCCATTAATGATTAATACTCTGGCTTATTCTATCACTAATACTGCAGTCTTTTAAGGATCTCAACATTTACACTGTTGGTCATATACTGTAGCTTACATTTACTTCTATCTCTATATATTGTCATATATTGTATTATAATGTACATACTTAGACTCTTATTATATTTGTCTATTTTCTATTTCATTTGATACGTATATATACATATATACTATTTTCTCTGTGTTAGATATTGTAATATAATTATTATGTCTATTCTTTATTGTTGTGTTAGCACCTTGCGCAACTATAACAAACAAATATCCCCCCAGGGAACAATATAGTAAAGTATGAATATCAAGGAAAACAGTACAGTTGAAACTAGTGTTGGATCAATATGGGTTTTTCAATGGCCAATACTGAGACTGATATTTAGAGAGAAGGGCAACAGATGGTCAAAATATAATGCTGATATTAAATCAAAGAGCGGCGTGCAGTATGTCAGAAGCTACATCTTAGATTAGATTTGCTGTCATTGAGGAAAAAAGTGTTAACATTTAAAAAGATGATGGTGACTGGCACTACCATCATTCCACAGCAGCCACACTGACGAGGCTGCCTGCAAACATTTTTTCTTTATTGGCCTCGTGAGCACAGGCTATCTGTAATTAAAACTGTAAAACGCTATTTACAAAAATACAAATCAAATGACTTACATTAGAAACGCAGGTTTTGCGGCCATCACAGTGTCTCCTACATGCTTGGAAGATGAGATGCTTCACTGTTAGATTCTACTAAATTCTACACATTGATGCTTTTGAAGTTCAGGTTAATTTCATAATATTTTGAGTGTTTATGAGTGTAGCAGGTCTCGCTACTACTGTGGGTTCTCTCAGCACACAATCCAACAACACAAGTTAATAATCAAGACCACTTCATTCCTTTGTCAGCAAACACACACTATAAATACCAAATTTTGCCCACTTCAAAAGTCAATGAAGGTTGGCTCCAGTCCTTTCTGTTGTGTGTGTCGGTCAACCCAGGTCCAGCACACTACTACCTAAGAGAGGTGAGTGTGACTACTGAGCTGTTCTCACAAGCCGTCTCCACACCTCTCTCCTGCAGCTGATTGTAAA